CCCCAAAGTGGAGCCGAAAGGGCGCCATGTGGTAGTGGCCAAAGCGAAAGCTAAAAGAGCGTAACATGTTTGGACTAAAAGCTCCGATTTGAAAGGTCGAGAGCCTCCCTCCCTTTAGCTTACGACACCTCGAAGAGTTGGTTCTTTATATATACCTTTGGTCACTATGTAAGAGGATTGCTCCTTTTCCTTTCTATAGTTTGAGACTTTGGGATAACTTTTCAAAACATTGTAGCCCTACATAAGTCTCATGGATGCTTTCCCCACCTTCCACCCTTTGGTGCCTTAGATATGTGGCTAAAGTGAGGTTCTAATAAGCCATGCCAGGTATCCAAGTAAATAGTGCCACCCACACTTGGATTGGGAGCATTGACCATTTGATCTCCCAAGGGAGCTAGAGTCAGCTTTTAAACACTTCACCAAATTACTCTACTTATCCATCTGTATTCACTCTAACCTTAAACTCCTTAGTGGTTATATTATCACCCACCATATAAGTATAGCCTTTCTTAGTCACACTAGCATTTCCTGGCTAAACTGGTTCCACTAAAGTCCTCCCACTACTATCCTTTTGGAGCTTACAAAACCCTTTAGGGTCTGGGAGATAATCGCTTTAGGCTTTCACCCTTGAACTTGGATTTAAACTCGAATTCGGACTCAGACTTGGACTCAGTCTCGATCTCGGTCTTGGTCTTGGTCCTGGTCTCGGTCTCGATCTTGGTCTTAATCCCAGTCTTAGTCCCAGTCTCGGTCTTTATCTCGGACTCCATATAGGACTCATTCTCAAACTTTATCTCAAACTCCTTCTCAAACTTCATTTTAGACTCTTTTTCGGACTCCATCTCAGACTCCTTTGCTCGGACTCCATTTCAGAGTCCATCTCAGACTCCTTCTCGGACTCCATTATAAACTCCTTCTTGGACTCCATCTCAGACTCATTCCCGGACTTTGATTTCAGATTCCTAGATCTTTAGGAATGTTGTGGCTAACACTTCATTAAGATCTTTTGAGAGTTGTGCATATATTTGCCCCATCCACCTTTAATGATGCTTTTTAACTGATATAATGCTATGAGACATCACTTCTCCCACTTGTCGCTACATTTCCCACATGAAGTGGAGTTGAAGTATATGTTCTAATGGAGGTTGATGTTGTTGCTATCCATGTTTAAAGACAATGGCAAGGACATAATTGTGGCCATAATGTTTGTTGTTAGGCATGTGATGAGGATGGCCATACATATAAGTGTTATCATCATTTTCTAGATTAGCATCCTCCATTTTCTAGATAGAGGCTTTGGTGTTAATAACATCATATTGGTGTTGATATGGTGAAAAGTCATAATATTAAGATTTTTTTGAGAAATAGGGAGTCATATAAGTAATGGAGGGACCTGCATGAATTAGTTAGTGACCCCTTCATCTATCTTCTGGGAATACTTTTAAAGGGGTTTAGTTGCCACTAGTTTATCTAATGTTTACTTTCCAAGCTTATTTTTATAACAAGAAGTCCCTTTCCATGTTAGTTGAGATGGATTTAAGTTTATCTTTTATTACTAAGCCTATTGCCACACATTTACCATCTACATTTGCATTGTACAACTATGTTAATAATAGTATACAATATTATAATTATATTTGAACCCTTTTTTATCATAAGGATCGAAGGTAATTAGAGTTCTCTAGTTGATTGACCAAGATCTAGAGGAACATCAAGAAGAGGCACTAATGAATTTATAAGTAATACTATTTGTTCTTATTCCCTTTATATAAAGTGTTTTATCTACTCCATATACACAATATGTAGTGGATTGGCATATTGAATATTGTGCCGAACTTTATAAACTTTTTGTTCAACGTGCTTATAAACTTGCGGTTCAACATTTGATACAGTTTTTTTAACTGAGTAAGGAGCCCTTTAAATAAACCACATACTATAAAATTGGGAAAACAAACCAATATTACATCATCCACTTCATATTTTATAGGTGGGTAATGATAAGAGTTATAATGTTATTATTGCCTATTTGTATACAGCCCAACTGTTTATTAGGCTGCTCAAATACTAATCCTAGAACCTAGCATTAATAGCTCATGGCAATCACAAAAGTAAACTCAACTTCATGAGCAATTGAATTATTATTATATAAGCATTAATATATTGAAGTACCAATAAACTTTATATTCTTGTAATATATGCATATTGTAGAAATAATAAATAACCATCTTAATTTGAATGTTAAAAGTTTATATACTTTACAATAGCTTTCTAGTCATACAATAATGTCTTATATGCTTGTCTAGAATAGGAGATTCATGTGGAATAAAGACTGAAGGCACCACTAACCATAAATGATCACCACAATGAGCCCCCACAAAGTAAAAAAAGTTATCCTTAAGGTAACATTAAGAATGTAAATATTAAAATAGTAAGTCATCAACAAGATTCTCAAACCTATCAAAAGCTTTTAAATCCATAACTCAACATTTTGAGCTTCACTAACCTCACCAAGAGAAAGTAAATTTCACTAATGTTTGAATAACAAACATATTAGGAACATAAAAAAAGATCAAAAAAAGAAAAGGAGTTTGAGAAAGAACCTCAACATTAGTTATAATACTTCTAAGTTATAAACAACTTTGAAGTCATATATTTTAAGTTTCAAAATCTATCCAACAATATAACGAGCCAATTTCTTCCACTTCAATATAATGATTATAACATAATCACCCTTTAATAAAGTTTAATAACCATGTAAGTATGCATGAAACTTCTCAAAACCACTGCTAGACACTCTTTATTTATCATAGACCTAGATTTATGCTCTCTTGCATCAATACACCTCTAAAACTAATATTAAAAGCATCTATATGCAAGATGAAAAGTTGAGTATAGTGCCAAAATTGGAAGAATTATTAACATTTTTTTAAGATCTATAAATGCCCATTCACCATCTTTAAACCAAATGAATAATAATGTTGACGACATCAACAATGCTCATAATGATGAAGTGTTATATATTATTCATACACTTTGGAGCAAAGAACTTCAAAATAGCCATAAGTTTTTTATAATAAACTTGCAAACAAAGAAATGTAGTACTCAAGATAAATTATGTCCTTAGGCTTAAACACACGCTTAAATCACTTCAACCCAAACTAACTTTTTGTAGTCGATCCAATATCTTGTAAGCGTCATGAATATACTCTTCCCACATCCCCTCTAAATGGATCAAAACATTATACAATCACATTTGACATATCATAAAGAATCTCATCTATCATCTACTAGAAAGTTGTTAAAGCATTATGTAAATTGAACAACATCACCAAAAACTCATACAAATTAAATAGTGTATAAAAAATGGTTTTTAGAACATCCTCTTTAGCCATCTACTAACCAAAAGTAAAATTTAACTTGGTGAACTAATAATTTCTCCTCAGACAATCAAGAAGATTAATAGTGTAAAGAAAAGGATACATATTTAGGATAGTCATTTCATTTAACAAAGAATAATCAATGTAAAATTGAATACTCCTATTAGTCTTCATCACAAGATGAGGTTCAGAATCCTAAAAGCTCTGAGACTTTTAAATAACATTTTTCTTCAATATCTCTTTGATATTTGCATAAACAATTTTAATCTTTTTTGATGACTAATGCCAAATAGAAGATAAACATCCTTAGTTAAAATAGGATGATGCATTGCAATCTTAACCTTAAATGACATATCAAAATTGAAAAGATTAGCATAGTAAGTCAACAATTACAATGCAAAGACTATTTAAAGGATCTAAAAAGGGAATAAAAAAACAAAAAGGAAACACAATAAAAAGTAGTGGGGAGATAAACTGATGGAAGAAGTAGAGGGATGAATTAAAACACAATTGAGAGGAATGAAAGAAAAATGAAAAAAATGTAAAATAAAGGGAAGAAGTTTCAAAGCCATATTCGTCATGATTGCACTGTAATCAATCCATATTAAAGATGAGATCAAAAACTTAACTCAACACTACTTATAAGATCATTTATATGCATAATTAGGTCCACCTCATCCCACATATACACATGGGGATTTTGATAATCATCAAATTGGTTTCAATTCAAACCATTCACTCCTATATATAAACAAGATGTTCACTTTTTTTATATAGAACTTTATCAAATATATATTAAGTGTTTTGCTAAAAACAAATCAAATCTTAACTTCAAAAGATTTATATCAATTAATAGAGAATGCTATTTAAAGTATGATATCAAACTTTATCTCTTTTTGGTTTGCTTAAGCGGATGGTAGTGAATATACCTAGAATATACTTGGATATTCTAGGATATTCTACTATTAATCTTGTATTTATAATTTATAAACATGTTTATAATTTATAAAATTTCTTAAGCCTTTTCAAATATATTATTTTTATTCTTTCATCTAATGGTTGATATGCAACAAGATTAATTTTGTGTTTATAAATTACAAACATGCTTTTAATTATAAACTTTATTTGATCAATTGAATTAATAAGTAAAAATAACACTATTATTTAGCAAACCAAGCATTGCAAACCAACCAACCTGTAGCAATTTATTTTTTAATAAGAGATAAAAGTTTAGTTGGTATGTACCAAAAAAGAAAGATACCCTTAACTAACATTAAGGATACTGCTGCTGCCAGTCCCGACAATGTGCAGCCGCTGGGAGTGTGGGTCTGGCGGATGCTGGATGCTCGTCACCAAGCTGGATTATCTGGACAAGCTGCCGGGCTGGAGGCTGGAACTATGCTCGCTTACGGGCAACTCAGCTTTTGAGGCCTAAGTATCTCCCATACGTGAGCAAGAACCAGAGCGTGATGACGAGCTTTGGGGACGAGGTTTTCATCGTGGAGAACTTCGGCCGCTGCCCTGATGGATACCTGACGGGGGTTAGAAGTGTATTGTCGGGCACGGAGTCGGCCTTGTTGCCCGAAATCAGAGGAATACTTCATGCTTCCTCGTGTTGGACTGTTTGACTGTGCTGGACTATGGCATTAAAATTACCTTGGTTCTTTCAAAGACAATCTGACTAGAACAATGGTATAAGATCGTCGTGAAGAATCCTTGCAAAAATACTTCTCTGTCGTGACCCTTGTGACTGACTATGGGCATTGAAATCCCAGAAGAATCCTTGCATGAAGACCCAGATCGCTAGAAAGTTAATATCATTTGAAAACTTCCCTTTCCCGGGTATTAGGGTTTTTGCTGGCAATGCGGTGGTGATGGAAGGTATGGCGCTCTAGGGCTCTCTTTACGCGGTGGCGACGGCGATGGTGATGGAAATGGCGGCGGCGTCGGCGATGGCGATGGCGATGGCAGTGGTTTTCTTCCAGGACTGGGAGCCCTGGAAGGCGGAGCGTGCTTTGGTGGTCCTAGCGGAGGAGAGAGCTTTGGAAGCGGCGGTGGCGATTTGTTTCGAGGAGGGGGAGGTGTGAGCTTTGGAAGCGGTGGCGGCGGTTTGTTTCGAGCTGGCGGCGGCGGAGAGAGCTTTGGACGGGGTGGCGATTTGCTTCGAGCTGGCGGCTTTGGAAGCGGTGGCGGTGATTTGTCTCGGACATATGGAGCTGGCGGTGAGGGGTGAGGGGATTTCATCCGCGGGGCTGGCGGTGGAAGAGGAGGACGAAGAGCGTGTAGCGGTGGCGGCGGCCCGTTGTTTCTACGAACAGGGGCCGGCGGAAGAGAATGCGGTGGTGGCGGAGATGTTGGTTGCGGTGGAATGACGATCTCCGGCGGCTCGGCGTTTGGCGGTGGTGGGAGTTCTTCGTATGGTGGTGGAGAGAATGGGAGGAAAGGCGAGCTTCCAATCGGCGGAGCGCCGCCATAGCCAGGGTGAGGAAACGGGAAGATTGCTGGCGGAAGTGGCGGTATGATGGAGGTGTTGGAAAGCGATGGAGGCAGCTCCGAGCACAGGGTCTTCTGTGGCCGAAAAGTAAAAGCTCCCACCGTGAAGATGCCTGTTCTTCGTGCTGCCTTGGACAAGATCCCAGCGTTTTTCTCGGTGGTCGTTGGTATCTGGCAAGTGGAGTCTGGGAGCCTGACGATCTTGACAAAGAGCTGTCGGCTTTTTGCACCAGGATCTGCGAAGAACGCGCTCTTCACAGGCAGCTTGAAAACTCCGTTGCTGTCTGTCAATGCGAGAATCGCTGGATTTCCAGTGTACTGGAGTGAGACTTCCACACCTGTTAGAAGATCAAGGTATGGCTTTACTCAGCACGCAAAGTTGGACCTTTTACTGACACTAAGTTGCAGAAAGAAGAAAAAGAAGAGGAAAATCAGTTAAGCAGGAGACTTTGGAGGAAAACTGGATTCCACGAGACAAAGCCATAACTTTCTACTTTCTACGACTGGAATGTAAGTACTCCTCTTCTCTTTTGCGACTTTCTTACAGATAGAGAAAAGAAACACAGTGAAAGTGTTTGCTTCGCTTACCTGGTAATGGAGTTCCAACCGCAGTGCCATGAACACATCTCTTGCAAAAGACCACTCCAGTAACAGTGATGGTGTCTTTGCGTGTTGCCGATGACAAGCCGGCGAGAATGAAGGCAAGGAGAAGACTGTGAAGCACCATAGCCGGCTTCACGCATACACTGGCTGAAAGGTATGAAAGAAAAGAAGGTATTCGTTGCTAGAACGGAGCTCTAGGATATGTCTCTGATGATTCTGTGTGGACTGTGTGCTCACATGTTTCTCCGGATGTTGCAGAGAGATGCAGAGGTTTAAAAGAGCCACGAAGTGTTTAAAGCGAGTAAGTTTCGCTTTGTCTCGAAGATTTGACCTCCGCGAAGCAGCTTGACTTACTTTGATCTCGCAAATAACAATTCGAAGCATGTTTTTATAATCGCTGGAAGCTCGCGATGTTAGGACAAAGGTAAGTTTTTTTATTAGTATGATCTCTCGTGTGCTCTGGACTTACAAACTATTATAGAAATAAAACCATGCAGGGAGGGAAGCAAGAAAACATCCGCAAGATTCGCCCGAAAGAATCTGGATTGGAAGGCGCGGCGCGGCATTAAAAATGGAACCACCTTCGTCTCCAGCAGCGTTTTCAGCGATCCTGATCGGACATGGGACACGATTGCTTGTTTAAGCTTGACCGACGCAGCTATGGCTGGTAATGTTTCAAGCTCTCATTTTTTTTTTTCTTTCCCTATCGTCGTTCTCATCTGTAACTTCGTTCCCAGGATTCATTCGCTCGCTTTGGATCTCATAAATGCGCAGCTTGAAACAGTCTTGATCGAGCGCGGAGAAAAGAAACGCGAAAAAGGAACTATAACGGAACTTACGAGCTATGGCTGCTGCTTGGAAGAAGCTCGGCCATGGTGGTGTGGCATTAAATGTGGGGAGTTTCTCTTCCTTTTTTTTTTGAATTTGCCATATTCCAAATCAAATCTCCTGGAAACCAACCCATTGAATTCACCCAACACCATAGCCGCGATCATGGAAGAAGCAATCGTGGAGCGCTGTGATTGCTGCCTTGATCCGTGTTAATCGGAAGAGGCGCAAGAGCAAGGAAGAGGGTGAGAGAGAGAGTAGGCAAGGCTAGAGGAGGATTTGTCACGGCAGTGTGGTATGCGTGATCGATCGAGCTATCGATCGATCGCTCACGCACAACAAAGCGGCGATGGCATTATCAGAGAGAGATCGAATCTGGGCAGGATTTCTCGGAAGAAAATCCCATAAACACTGCCGCATCCATCGATTGTCGCGGGGGGATGAGGGCACAGCTGCGATCCTCGTGGCGATGGCGACGCGCCCCCGATCATGAGGTATCGGTAGTATATCGTTCTTGGGCGGGATCGAGGAAGAACAAAGAAGAAGAGAGAAAGAGAGATGGTGGGCGGTGGATTCCCAGCGGGGATCGGTGCTAGATCGATCGTGGGTAGGCAGGAATCGAGGAAGGAGATGATGGGTCCGCGGCGGCTGTGAGAAAGAGAGATCGATCGATCCATGGGCGAGCCGGCGGCGGGAGGAGAAGAGGATGCTTACTGGGGACGCTTGTGCCAATCCATGGCCTCGCGCTGCTTGGAATGTAGCTCGCTGGGCATGAGAGGCGATCCCATGGGTGTTCTTCGCATTAGCAGCTCCAGCCACCAGTTCTACGAGAGTGATTCCACGCCGGATAGTCCCCGCCTCTCCACGATCAACGCGACGATCTCCAGCCACTTCTCTGGGAATCTTTCGGCAGATTCGAATGGGCTGGAGAGCGGCGCCGTGCGAGAGAACCAGGGAAATGGAAACGAAGAAGCGCCATCGCCGCCCCGGCCGCCACCGCCGCCACCGCCGCCGCCGCCACCTTTGAGAAGATTTTCTCTGGAGATCTTGCGCGAGTGGGCGATGAAGCGATCGCATTGGCAGCAAGTAGCGAGCGATCCCATGCTCTTCCCTCGCATCGCCCTCATGGTACGCCAACTTTTTCTTGTCTTTATGTTTTCGTCGTCCTCGTTGTTTCGTAGCGATTCTTGGCGTGTTCCCGCGAAACACGGAAGAATCGAAGAGAGCTAATCGTGTTCTTCGTGTTCTTCCAGGTGATGCTGGTGTTGCTCGTGACTATACTCACCGTGAGCGCGTGGTACGTTGCCTCGAGCCAGATTCGACGATCCATCGCTCCTCTCGTTGCTTCTTTGCGAACCGAGGCTGCGTTTGACATCGAGAAGCCGCTGGATTTCGCTCTAAACTACACTTCCACTTCGGTGTCGCTTCTTTCTCGCCTCCTCTCGGCCTCCAACGCGAGCTTGACATCCTCCCCTCCTCAGGTACGAGTGAAAGAAAGCTCACCAGTTCTATCGCGAGTACTGGATTTCCTGCTAACTTTCTCTCGTTCCAGCTCAAGAGCTTGCTGTGGACTGGCTACTTCATGAGGCCGGGCAGCAGCGCTGCCGGATTCTTCACTCGGGATCTCTCTTTCATGGCCTTTGCCGACTCGAACTCCAGCAGGAGCGACGACGCCTACTTCTTCTCGTCCACTGGAAACTCGAAGTCCACGCACCGAAAGTCGTGTGTCTCGCCGGACTCCTTTCGATGGTTTCGCCAACTAGTTCATCCGGTCACGGGGAAGGTCGAGCAAGCGCAGACGCCATCGCCATGCCTGTTCTACACTGCTCGCTCGTCTCTCTACCAGGCAGCTCTCAACGACACGAGTGGAAAGATCTTCTGGGACATCACCGCCGACTCGTCCGGGAGTTTGTCACTCTTGGGAATGCAAGCCGTGAGATCGAGCTCGAGAACCAGCGGCGTGGCTTTTGTGACGAGATCTTTCGAGAACATGATGCGTCAAGTGGATGCTTTCCAGCAGCATATGTTCCTCATGACGGACGATGGCCGCTTGGTCGGGATTTATGGATCGAGCTACGCAGTCGGGGACGTGGATCGAGCAAACTTTACGATTCCACTCGCCAGGGACTCGAGCGACGCGCTGGTGGCGAGGATATCTTCGTTTTTGGATCGAGTAAACTCGAGCTTGACTTCGTCTCCTCGGCACTTTGAGAACGTTTTGGTGGATGGCGTTCACTATCACGTGAACACGGTGCCATTGTCAAGCATTGGACAAAATCTGGTAAGCCATCGTTTTTCTTCTCCTTTCTTGACGAAGTTCTTCGCTGATTGCGCTTTTCTCTTTCTCTTTTCTCAAAGTTCTACGTTGTTTGCGTTCTTTTCTCTCTTTTTTCTTCGCTAACTCTACGTGAGCTGAAAGGTTGCCGTGTTGATCATCTCGGTGAGGAGCTTGGAGATTGGACTGGACGCTCGGCTGCACACTCTGGGGATGATTTTCCTCGGCATTGCTCTCGCGACGGTGCTGATGGGGTGCTGCCTTGTGGTGATGCTCACAAAGGGAGTGAGCATCTCCATGAGAGTGGAGCAATCCTACATCGCACAGGTGAAAGCCACCAAGCTCGCCGAGAAACGGAGCAACCACAAGAAGCTCTTCTTCGCCAACATGAGCCACGACCTCCGGACTCCTCTCGCTGCCATCATCGGCTTGATCGATCTGTGCCTGTCTTACAAGGAGCGCCTCTCGGTGGAGCTCGAGTCCAACATGCTACAAATGAAAACTTGCGCTACAACTCTTCTAGGTGAGCGATCATCTCCTTCTCAAGCTTGATGACGAGAAAAATCGTTTTTTCCTTCTCGCAGGGATTCTAAACTCGATTCTAGACATGAGCAAGGCCGAGGTTGGCAAGCTGGAGCTGGAGGTGGCGGACTTCGACCTCATCAAAGTCTTGGAGGAGGCAGTGGACATCTTCGCGGTGGTAGGGGCCAAGAAAGGCATCGAAGTGGTGCTGGAGCTGCCGGACGACAGCATCGAGCTAGTGCGATGGGTGCGAGGCGACGCTGGACGAGTGAAGCAGCTCCTGTGCGATCTCCTCAGCAACGGTGTCAAGTTCACGAGCCGCGGCTACGTGATCCTCCGAGCTTTTCCCAAGCAATCCTCCTCGCAGAGCTGGGTGGCGAGCGCGAGCCGGCGGTCCGGCCGCTGGTTCCAGAAAACTTTCGTCAGCTGCTTGAGGACTAGCGGCAGCAGTAGCAGCAGGTCCTCGCAGATCCCGGCTCGATCACAGGGCAGCAGCAGTGACACTCTCGAGTTCGAGTTCGAAGTGGACGACACCGGACAAGGAATCCCGCAGTCGCGACGCGAGGCAGTGTTTCGAAACTTTGTCCAGGGGAGCTCCAAAGTCCACTGCACGTATGGAGGAACCGGGCTGGGCCTCGCGATCGTTCGCTCCCTGGTAAGCCAACATCAAGTTCTTCGATCGATCCTCGCATAAAAATCTCGTTTTTGTTTCTTCCCAGGTGCATATGATGGGAGGCCAGATCAAAGTCGCCAACAAAGACGGCCCAGGAACGCTCTTCAAGTTTAATCTCCTCTTCCAGAAGGCGTCGAGCAGGGATATCCAGACTACACACTCGGGCTTGCGTCGCAACGGCTCGCACCAGCAATCTTTCGGAGAAGAGAGCCAGCTCTTGGAAAACGCTGCCCGGGTTGACGGACTCGAGGGACAGAACCTCCAGGTGGTTTTGGCGATGGCGGGCGAGCTTGGTCGGAAGTTTGTATCCCTGTGGATGCAAAACAAAGGAGCAGCACAGGTCTGCGAGGTCTCGCAGTGGCAGAGCATCATCCCGAGCCTGGAGCGAGCTCTCGCGGATCGAACGAGCGTTTGCTCCGCGGACTCGTCACTGGATATCACCACCGAGAGCAACGCGAGATCATCGCCTTCGCCGCGAGGGAGGAGCGTGCTGTGCCTGGCGATGCTGGATACGGCGCTCTTCCCAGAAGGGAATGCCTCCATCACCACCAAGTTCCGGATGGAGCTGGACGAGCTCGTCCGGAGCTCACGAGGGAGTGGCAAGTGCGTGCACATAAGCTGGATCTTCTCGGCCGACACGACCAATCTCGTGTGGCAGACGCTCCACAGCCGGAGCGATCTCATCGTCCACAAGCCCGTCCATAGCTCGCGGCTGGCGGCGCTGGTGGAGGAGCTCCAGGGGCAGCACTTTGAGCACTTGGTGGCGGAGCAGCAGCGGTGGAGCAACGCCAAGAGGCCGAGCTGCGAGAAAAGATCCTCCTTTTCTTCGCGGAGCCGGAGTGGATCGGCA